GGGGGTTGGAAGAAATAGCAACACAAGGCACTTTCTATAAGTATGAACATGTCTTGAAAGATTACCCCGAATCATATAAATATTACTCTAATTAGGCAATTGAATGCAAAGTTATCACCTCTAGAAATTTGCTTATACATTTAGTGTGCAACCCGTAACCTAATGATTGAGTTGAATGAGTCAGTGGTTCAACTGCCTAGATTAATCAATTTTTTTATCAAACCCTCGGTTTAAGGAAAACTATACCCAAAATCATGGCCAAGTGATGGTTTAAACAATTTGACCATCCAACCACGAAAGGTTCAAAACATCGACTTGAAATCCATTTAAGTTTCACTTAATAGTAATTATAAATTTAAGTTAATATTTTTCACTAATTTTAAAATTCATTTAATTTCTATTTAAAAATAATACAAGTTAATAATTAATAAAGAATAATTTCTTTAAAATCAAATTAGAAATAATAAAATGAATAGAAAATAATTACATACTTGACCACTCATTAAGGATGCAACTTGTGTTGTGAAGATAGCGTGCACTAATTTGGCAGCTTAACAAAGCAAGGATCCCGACTAGCTTTTATTAAACTCGATGTGGGGGATTCTCTAAGTTCCTCAGCTCATGAAATGTCAGGAGCCACTGCATGAAAGCCATCTCATTCTCTCAAACGAGTTCGGATCCGCTCCTGAAAAAGCGTGCCTCATTCCGACCTCACAGCACGTACTTGGAATATCTACACTTATAATATGTGAGGTCGGTATGAAGCCTGCTCTATCAAGAATAGAACTTATCACCTCTCACACTTGGCGTCTCACACACATCTTATCATGCATTGAGAGCAATCTTCCGTACTTATTATTATTAGTTATAATTCACAGGAAATATTCCTAATACATATGCATTTATCTGTAAGACCCTCACACTTGGGGCCTTACATGCATATCTACCGTGCATTGAAAACATCTCCCATGAATAATAACAGGAAATGTTCCCGATAGATAATAGGATGTGCATATGTGGCGCCCTGAATCAGTAGCGGATCCAGTCTCCTCGAGCAAGTACCAAAAGCTGGAGGAGAAATACCGGAGCCGATTGACAACATTACCCTTTTGTAAAATCGGGTGGATTTCTCATTTGTCATTTCCGAATACTGCAAGTGTTTGTTTTGTAACGGAGAAAATGTCTCTAGAATAAAATAGCACTGTGTTGTTCTTCGTATAAACTGTTCGGACCTAGGGTTAGGGTTTTAGAGAATTGAAAGGAGAGGAAGAACAAGGAAGATCGATGGCTACCAGGGTTGCTCTGAAAGCGAATGGCAAGAAGGGCTGGTCACTCTGTTAAGTTGTAATCAGGGGTATTCTTATAATATCCCCTTTTATTTGATAACCCTGATATATAAGTCAAGTGGGGCATTGCCCCGATCACTTTTTTGGCAATCCTTTTCTCTCTTCTCTTTTCTTCTTCTAGATGGTATCAGAGAGGATCT